AACTGAATTAATGCCTGGATTGCTTTGAAATACTTTAATATTGAGAGAACACACTGTTCTGTCAATAATAAACATGCAATATTTATCAGTTTAATATTAAACATCAGAATATGCGGAAATTGTGATACTGTCTCCCTACATTGGATTTTCAACTAGGGATGCACTTCCTATTTCCGTTTATCAATACACTCCTAATGACCTTAAGTATGCTGTGTCCTACAGTTATATCCAAAACCAAACATTAAACCACAGTGCAGTTTGCCCGAGGTCCATAAGATAGTCTGATTGTCATTTATACTTATTATCTCCATGACATACATATCATTTCTTTCTTCAAAGTTAAGTTTGACATTTAGGATAAGTAGGTGCTGCATAACATAGATAAAATAATTTTACCCCAATTCCAACCTGTCAAACAGTTGAATGAACATCAAATATCTAGCAGTCATGGTTGGCCCCACAATATGTACAATACAATTGGCATTTTTATTAGTGCCTGCCCAATTACGTAGGCAGTATGACAACATGTTATTTTGAAAATGGACTGAAGCATTAAAGGGGCATCACGGTGAAGTAACTTTATTTTTTGTCTTTTTTTTCAAATACTACATAAACATATCAAGTGAGACTCCTTATGGAAAATAACAATCGGATTTGGCTGAAAGAGATTCATAAAAATGATTAAATCTAAGAAAATCATCGGTATTTCTCCCTGTCTGACCAACGTTTTGTTCAGGGATTTCCCTCTACAAGCGCATGCGTATAGCACACCATTTCTTTGTAAACAAAATGACTGGCCGTGCGAAGTTAGTGAAAGAAAAGTGTTGTACCGTGTCAGCTACGAAACAAAAAGTTACCAAATGGTCAAAAGATAGCGCAAGGAGTACGTTACGGAATCATTATTACAGGTGGGCAGTATTCAAAGGAGAAAATAGCTGCCCTAGCAGTTAGGACGGTGCATGTATTCTTCCGGATAGCCGGTTTAGCTGAAATGGAATGTTATGAATAAATATCTAAAACTATTAAGCTCGCTAGTATCATTGTCTGAGTTTGAACACAGATGAACTTATTTTAATATGTCAATGGGCATTTATCGGAGAGAGTTTACTTTGTGTTTCTATAATTATACAGTGGTTTATGCGAAAGGAAGGGATAAGTGACTGGTTAGTTTGATTTTGCCATGAGGCCCTCCAAGGGATAACTGTTGTGAAGGCCCACGGCTTATTTTCGGGGTCATCAAGATACGTGCACTATTAGATTTACATAATTTATAATATTACCGGGTTCAGTAAAATAGTATGATTTGATTATATTGCTGAATTAAACGATTATTTTTGATTTTACATACAAGATTTAAATTAGTACTAATATGAATACCCGGCCTCCTCTGCCCCGGCAATATATATATATAAAAAAAAGGTTTGTCCCATGGTTGAGGGAAGGTGTTTAGCCCCGTACCATCTGTACCGGTCACATTCTGGTACTAAATTCAATATATATTTATAAATATCTACTTTATGTTTATGCCTATTATCATTGTTGACATTTAATTGTAAATGTATGACGGGAGAGGCTGTGATCAATTGTAAAATCTTGTTCCCCATCCCTTGTTCAATTTTATTGGCAACAAATATGTTTGAAGCTAAATAAATTTAAATGCTGAGTAATTGGCAAGCGTGCAATTAACTTCTGATGATGAATAATAACTGTTCAATAAGTTTGAATACGGACACAGAAATCATATAACTTGGTTTCATCAGAGACGTATATAACACAGAGATTAGCAACTCGCGCAGATCTCGTAAACGCACGCTTATCAATTGAGCCTATTGTTATCGAGATACGTCGCGAGACATAAGTTGCGGTTGCGCGATAAGGCGGAACCGGCTTCTGAGTGTTTGTTTGGATAGCATTATGTCCATACACAACAATCATGGCGACCATGGTCTGTGCAAGGTGGTACCTGTGGCTTTATACGTCTCTGGTTTCATAGCATGGTAAGAAGTTGCAGTTGACTGACAGCCTCTCTGGGGGCTCCTCTGGAAACCGTTTCAGCTCGCTCAGACCACTTGTATTGGCGCTATTTTTAGCAGGGCTTTCCCGAACAATTCAAGTGGTCAAACTGGACATTTGGAACGGACTATGAATATGGGAATAGCGAGGTAACATAAGTGGAAGTGCAAACAATATATACATTCACTAAAAAAAATATGGCTCTTCACGTGATGTCCCTTTAAAAAACACAACAAAAATTAAATAATATGCAATTATTGAAAACTGAAAAAATAAAGGGCGTGCATGAAAACAATATACCTAATAAATTTCAAAACAATAATTGTATTACAAAGTGGCCCTGGAGTTCACTGATCACTCCTTTAAATGTGTTAATTATAAGGTTCCTTAAGTTATCCTAATTCAGGGAAGAGAGCTGACCATTAACCAACATACAACTGACGTAGTATGGAGCTTAGGTTAAAACATCAGTTGTAGTAAAGTCTGCACATAACGCAAGTTATAGATTTGATACAAAAGTCATCTAACTCTAATGAATGCAACTCGTGCTCTACAGTTCCTCCAATCAGAAACAGACATTTCTACAGTTCCTCCAATCAGAAACAGACATTTCTACAGTTCCTCCAATCAGAAACAGACATTTCTACAGTTCCTCCAATCAGAAACAGACATGGAATGTACCCTATGTAAATACATGCTAAATGTAATGTCACTTATGTTTATAATATATATCACACCATAAATTATCTTGTAATTCTCCTGTATAGTGACATTGAAAAATTGTAAGGCTTTTCTTTTGGCTGAAAATTTCATTTGCAGTCTTAATAATACATGTACATTGTACTAAATAACTCTGAATCACAGAAATGCAGATTTGAATAATCACCATTATTGGCCATTCTTTCTCCCCATGCTGATCCATCTAATGAGGATACAGCATTCCTTACTACAACACATCACTAATACATTTAGAAGGAGAAATAAAGTTTGTTACAAAATCACTAAACAGTTCATACAAATTAAAGTTTCCAGTATTCTTATTCTATTAGCTTAATAAACCCTAGTCTTTTAAAACGTAATTCAAATTCTAAGTCAACAAGAAAATATTTTGTAGAAAAAAAAATGAGACAGCAAGGTCTTATCTAATCTATATAACCTTCCTAAGAATAACAATTTCTTAGTGTCTTTGTAGGCTTGGTCTATTGGTCCATCCAAGTAGATTTGTACACATATCTGTGTGGGATTTTATAGTCTCAAGATCATTTATTGCTTAAATTGCTTTCAGGATAAAATGATGTGCTCTTTATTGTAATTAAAGTTTCTATCTTGGATATAACACCATAATTTGTATCTATATATAAGACTGAAACATAAACCAAGTGTCCAAAACAGGAGCGGGGTGTTTATTACAGTGGATATCGGCTTTTATGGAATTGGAATTACTGGTACTTATATATATACATGTATATAAATGTACTATATTGGGAATGCATCACCATACAGAGATACACATGTAAACTGCTACAGTCAGTGTTGTAACAATCAATAAAATAAACCGTATATACACAAGTATGCTGTATGTATACAACACATTTAAGAGAAATAAGATTACACCCTCAAGCTTGTAACAACCTACATGTTTATATATAACATGTATCAAAACTAAATTTACAATCTCATTTTCTTCATACCATCCTTATTTGTATATAATTTAATTATTTAATTTGATTGTGTAACTAGTGAGCCGGAACATATTACTTTCAATAGGCAATTTAGAAAATGAATATGAATATCTAGCAGTTGATCATGGTAGGCTCGACAATATACACAGTACATTACGATAAACATTTTCATTGGTGCAGGTTCAATATGGCATGACAAAACATGGTATTTTTGAAAATGATGAGCTAGATTGAAGGTTACTTACATCACATGTAGCATTAGCCACAGAGGAGTGACATACTTGCATGGAGACAAAACCAGAGGATTTAAGTTGTTTTTGTGAGTATAAAAATGCACTTTTGGTTAAACGCTTGAAATATAATGTTTTTTAAATAATTCAATTCGGAGAAAAAGCTTTGCACATGAGAAACTGACAACTAACTCATGATCACGAGCAGCACACAAGAAACAAGTGTAGAAATGTATGCAAATTAAGCAATAATATTCATGAATATCAAGACTTAAGTAACGTTATGAATATACAGCAAAGAAATTGTTCACCTCGAATGCACATGTGCAATGGTTTCCTTATGTGTGGAAAATGACACAAGCTCATGTAAGAAAATCTCTGCCCATGTGAGCAACCTACATTATAACTTATATTATGCTATAGCTACATTGTATATTTAAAAAGATCAATATGTATCATCTACGTCTTAGGTTTTCAAACCTTAATGTTCAGAGAATAACTTTTGCATAATTGCTAACAGTTGACACTTAATATGAAAACTCTAATTAGTCCTCACTTTTCTTGACAGAGACATGATCTTTTGTTCACTTACCAGAATATTTTGATTTGAAATCCAGTTAAAATTTAGAATGTTTGATCCTTTCAAAGAGGGTATATATATGATATGTATAAATCTTGTGCACTCAATTGGGCATATGTTTCTTTAACTTTTTTTGTGAGCTTTCAGCTAATAAGAGCCTTATATGCTCACGTGATATACCTCACTTGAGCTTTCTGCTCCTGTGCTGATTTGATGCAAGTTAAAGTACGAGAAGGTGATATGCATTGCACTTTTTATTCTGAAAATTGTAAGTTTGAAATATTTGTAATGGATAAAAAAAACCTCTTGACTAATTTCTGTTAATGAAGACCCTATGACCTTCTTATTTATATAAATTAATAGAATTAAACTTGATATGTTCCCCTTCAAACCATGACCTCATTGTTTTGTTCAAGACACTGAATATTTGAAAGCCTAATATCTTTTCCCTTTTGTCCCAAGCACAACAGAAGGCACTTTGTATTTCCTCTCCGTTCCAGCAGCTTGTTGTTTCAAGATTTGTCTCCCCTTGGACTGCTGTCAACAGAGAGACAAAGAAAGACTGTAATTATATAGTGTAATAGTTTAAAAACTGAGCTTGTGCTGTTATAGACTAATTTGTGTGTCAACTTTATGTAGGCATTCAGTTTAACAGCAATTTTCATTTATGTTATAATTACCCAGTGTACTATAGTAGATAATAATTAATCTCTTACTGGATCGATCATTACAGAGATTTAGATATATGTATATAAGGCTGTAGGTGTTGTCATCTGTATTGTATACATGTCTTAAGTAATTTACTGGTAAGTGAAAAGCATAATATATGTATATGGTACAGTATATTGTAAAGTAATCAAGTTACAGAAGTAACAAAACAGAAAAGGAGTTATATAAGTGTATACGTATAGTTTACATATAGGATCTTAAATGAGTTTACATTTACCGGGGGGTATATGAGATTTTATGAAACAATTCTTAGGAGTTTTTATCTTTGTGAGCCTTGGCGAGCAAAATTAAAACGTCGAGACGAGTTTCATAAAAGGTGATATGAAATGAAAACAAATTCAAGATACTTTTTATCACACAACTCAGAAAACTTACATTTTGACAGGTTTTAAAGCCAAAATGTAGAGGGCTTAATCAAACGGAGACAGCCATTTTGTTGCGCCATTCACAATTTATGATGTCACATCATTGTCCATATTATGACGTCACAATCGATTTCTGACTGGCACAGCCAATGAAAAACGCTCCAGGGTATATTACACTAGTGACATATGTAAAAATATTACACGGGCGAATTCACTGGATATCAGGCCGATTATGTGATAAATGTATATACGTTCTATAATGCAGAGAATGCAATGTAATATAGCCCTCATCTGTATATATTTAAAGAGTTTGTTTACAACACTGGTATGTGCTGTAGGACTCTGTCATAAGTTAATGTAGGAAATGGTGTAATATGTCGTTTTTCTGTCAGCAATTACGACTGACTGTTCAGGAAAGCTTCAGTAGTCTTATGCGCGAGTCTGTCCCATATATTATTATATACAGATAAAAAATAAACTTCAATGTTGAATCATTCTATTTCTACAATAATGTCAACTATTGGTTCACATAAGGTTTCCAAAGTTTGAGTATTATATATATATATGTTTCCTCAGATTAATCATGGTAAATTCTGACTTAGAAATATTAGTTTGTCTTGACTATATATATGTATATTCCTGTGCCAACTTTCCCTATTTAGGAGGGAGTCTCTTGATTTTTGACTTTTAAAATTAGCATGTTTAACCAGTGAATCTGCAAAACTATTCCTATACTCTCAGATTTAATTAATGATTTCATCTGAAAAGATCAACTTAATATATGTCAATTAAAGTGTGTTTGTGTCTCAAGGGGGTATATATACACATTATATATACGTTTTAATTTTGAGCATGCAGAATCTCCCCCATAGAAATTTCAAGCAGTTGGCAAGTATGTTAATCACTAGTTGTCTTTTCTGACTGTTATGTGTTTGACTAAACTATGTTTACCAGTTATGCGAAATATCAAGTACAGTTATAACTTATATTATTTTAGCTACATTATTATATAGCTTCTAGCTGCAATGCCTATAATACCTTGACAATGTCTGAATGATGATGACAGAATCCTCTTCAATTTTTGTCAGATTCACCCATCCTTTCTGCAGGAAGTAGAAAGTTTGGTCTCCTAGAAGGGCACGTTTCTAAACAAATGAGAAACAATTGTACTATGTAAGACAGTCATATTCCTTTGGATTAAAACCCCAACAAATCTGACATTCCTTAAAACAGATTTTAATTTAAAACAATTAATTGTTGATTATAAGTTAATTACAATTTAATAATGCATATTTGCAAGTTAATGAGTTGAGGTATTTCATAAAATCATTCTGGAATTTGAAACAATTTAATTTGCAAGGTATCGATGGATTATAATTTTAATTGTCACAAAGCTATACATTTCTGCAAGTATTCATTATAAGATATGAGAACTAAGTAAGCACTATAAATATTTGTAGAATTTCAAATGTGGCAAAATTAAGTCTCTTTTTAGTTTCAAATGAACTGAAAGAGATACAGAAAGAGGTACCTGCTGGGTGAACCGGTCCATTGTTATCAGAGTGTTGATATATGTGCCTTTAGGAACTGTCATGTTAAACATAGCATAGCCTTGGTGTACAAACTGGACATTACATACCGGAAGTGAGCTTCCTACAATAAAGAATAAGGATACTGGAATAATTAATGTGTCTGAAAGAAAACAAACTAGTTCTGTTATAGTATAACATGTGTTAAGGAGAACTGGACTGGGGTGTTCACTGGTGACCAGGTAGCTCAGTTGGATCTGACTCGGTATGGAGTTTAAAGTGACCTGGGTTCGAATCTGGTCTTGCCAAACATTTTCCTTTTCCTATAACAATCTTTGTGTCTTTGACGAACCTTTAATTGTTCAAATTACTGCGTGTACAGTTGGAAAGGGGATACATGGGTTGTAAATAGCAAGTGTTTTCTGTGGAGCTAAGACTTAGAAAAAGGACTGAAGAATGTAGCAGAACTGGACAGGGTCGAACACCATAGACCATGCAGCAAGGTAACTAAGTAAATAATTGGTTTGAGCATCTGTCTAGAGTTTGTAGGGTTCAGGGTTCAAATTCAATCTCAGGGCATGAGTTTCTCTTTCCTCTCTTGTTGTAGTGGTGCCCAAGACCAACCCTTGTTTCAAGTACTAGGTGAAATTATATTTTATGCTTGGTAAGGGAATACCTGAAGCTGGGTTCGCAGACGAAGACTTATAAAAAGGATTGAGAAATATAGCAGAACTTCTAAGAGCATAATAGTCCTTGTCTGGCTATGCATTTTTCCCTTTAATTTCTACAAAATTGGTGCCTGTGACCAACCCTTGTTTCCTTTACTGGGTGTATTCTTCGCCTGGGGATACCCAAACTGAACTTGGGTTATAATTATGATTGTGATTGTTGTATTTGGGTGCAAAGACTTACAAAAAAGGACCAGGTGGCTCAATTAATTGATTCATGTATAGAGCGTTTGTCTAGATTGGTGGGTCTGAGTTAAAATCCCAGTCTGACCTTGCATTTTTCTGCTCCTATTACACTTGAAATTTGTGTTGTTTGATTTAATTGATGTCTTTGACTTGCTATTTCTTTCTTTGGTGTATCTATAAATGTTTGTACATGTACCATGAAGTATCTCCAAACCATAATGGAAATTTGTACCCATAAACATTTCATTTTATAAAATGTGTCAAGCATTAACTTAGCTAGTGTCATGTTAAAATGTAATATATATCAGAAAGAAAGAAAATGCTATGCTTTAATTTGGCAATGTTTACCTTCGTGCACTTCATATGATGGCTCGGCCTCACACGCACCAAGAGACTCAATCTGTTATATGATACAATTAATAATTTGTGATAAAATATTTTTTTCTTACATTGAGTTAACAGTACTTCGCTTACGTTTTCACATCCATATATATATTTATAGAACTTGTCTATCTAACAGATGAATGGATTACACAATATGTGATTTTTGTGTTAGCACTGAACAACAATCTAATAGGAGATTTGTGTTTACAAGCACTGATCAACACAATCTAATAGGATTTATTAGTTAGCACTGAACAACATAATCTAAAAGGATTTATTAGTTAGCACTGAACAACACCATCTAATAGGATTTATTAGTTAGCACTGAACAACACAATCTTATAGGATTTATTAGTTAGCACTGAACAACACAATCTTATAGGATTTATTAGTTAGCACTGAACAACACAATCTAATAGGATTTATTAGTTAGCACTGAACAACACAATCTAATAGGATTTATTAGTTAGCACTGAACAACACAATCTAATAGGATTTATTAGTTAGCACTGAACAACACAATCTAATAGGATTTATTAGTTAGCACTGAACAACACAATCTAATAGGATTTATTAGTTAGCACTGAACAACACAATCTAATAGGATTTATTAGTTAGCACTGAACAACACAATCTAATAGGATTTATTAGTTAGCACTGAACAACACAATCTAATAGGATTTATTAGTTAGCACTGAACAACACAATCTAATAGGATTTATTAGTTAGCACTGAACAACACAATCTAATAGGATTTATTAGTTAGCACTGAACAACACAATCTAATAGGATTTATTAGTTAGCACTGAACAACACAATCTAATAGGATTTATTAGTTAGCACTGAACAACACAATCTAATAGGATTTATTAGTTAGCACTGAACAACACAATCTAATAGGATTTATTAGTTAGCACTGAACAACACAATCTAATAGGATTTATTAGTTAGCACTGAACAACACAATCTAATAGGATTTATTAGTTAGCACTGAACAACACAATCTAATAGGATTTATTAGTTAGCACTGAACAACACAATCTAATAGGATTTATTAGTTAGCACTGAACAACACAATCTAATAGGATTTATTAGTTAGCACTGAACAACACAATCTAATAGGATTTATTAGTTAGCACTGAACAACACAATCTAATAGGATTTATTAGTTAGCACTGAACAACACAATCTAATAGGATTTATTAGTTAGCACTGAACAACACAATCTAATAGGATTTATTAGTTAGCACTGAACAACACAATCTAATAGGATTTATTAGTTAGCACTGAACAACACAATCTAATAGGATTTATTAGTTAGCACTGAACAACACAATCTAATAGGATTTATTAGTTAGCACTGAACAACACAATCTAATAGGATTTATTAGTTAGCACTGAACAACACAATCTAATAGGATTTATTAGTTAGCACTGAACAACACAATCTAATAGGATTTATTAGTTAGCACTGAACAACACAATCTAATAGGATTTATTAGTTAGCACTGAACAACACAATCTAATAGGATTTATTAGTTAGCACTGAACAACACAATCTAATAGGATTTATTAGTTAGCACTGAACAACACAATCTAATAGGATTTATTAGTTAGCACTGAACAACACAATCTAATAGGATTTATTAGTTAGCACTGAACAACACAATCTAATAGGATTTATTAGTTAGCACTGAACAACACAATCTAATAGGATTTATTAGTTAGCACTGAACAACACAATCTAATAGGATTTATTAGTTAGCACTGAACAACACAATCTAATAGGATTTATTAGTTAGCACTGAACAACACAATCTAATAGGATTTATTAGTTAGCACTGAACAACACAATCTAATAGGATTTATTAGTTAGCACTGAACAACACAATCTAATAGGATTTATTAGTTAGCACTGAACAACACAATCTAATAGGATTTATTAGTTAGCACTGAACAACACAATCTAATAGGATTTATTAGTTAGCACTGAACAACACAATCTAATAGGATTTATTAGTTAGCACTGAACAACACAATCTAATAGGATTTATTAGTTAGCACTGAACAACACAATCTAATAGGATTTATTAGTTAGCACTGAACAACACAATCTAATAGGATTTATTAGTTAGCACTGAACAACACAATCTAATAGGATTTATTAGTTAGCACTGAACAACACAATCTAATAGGATTTATTAGTTAGCACTGAACAACACAATCTAATAGGATTTATTAGTTAGCACTGAACAACACAATCTAATAGGATTTATTAGTTAGCACTGAACAACACAATCTAATAGGATTTATTAGTTAGCACTGAACAACACAATCTAATAGGATTTATTAGTTAGCACTGAACAACACAATCTAATAGGATTTATTAGTTAGCACTGAACAACACAATCTAATAGGATTTATTAGTTAGCACTGAACAACACAATCTAATAGGATTTATTAGTTAGCACTGAACAACACAATCTAATAGGATTTATTAGTTAGCACTGAACAACACAATCTAATAGGATTTATTAGTTAGCACTGAACAACACAATCTAATAGGATTTATTAGTTAGCACTGAACAACACAATCTAATAGGATTTATGAGTTTGCACTGAACAACATAATCTAAAAGGATTTATTAGTTAGCACTGAACAACACAATTTGATAGGATTTATTAGTTAGCACTGAACAACATCATCTAATAGGATTTATAAGTTAGCACTGAACAACACAATCTAATAGGATTTATGAGTTTGCACTGATCAACTCAATCTAATAGGATTTATTTGCTAGCACTGAACAGCACAATCTAATAGGATTATACGTTAGCACTGAACAACACAATCTAATAGGATTTATTAGTTAGCACTGAACAACACAATCTAATAGGATTTATGAGTTTGCACTGAACAACATCATCTAAAAGGATTTATTAGTTAGCACTGAACAACACAATCTTATAGGATTTATTAGTTAGCACTGAACAACACAATCTAATAGGATTTATGAGTTTGCACTGAACAACATCATCTAAAAGGATTTATTAGTTAGCACTGAACAACACAATCTTATAGGATTTATTAGTTAGCACTGAACAGCACAATCTAATAGGATTTATGAGTTTGCACTGATCAACTCAATCTAATAGGATTTATTAGTTGGCACTGAACAACATAATCTAAAAGGATTTATTAGTTAGCACTGAACAACACAATCTAATAGGATTTATTAGTTAGCACTGAACAACACAATCTAATAGGATTTATTAGTTAGCACTGAACAACACAATCTAATAGGATTTATGTGTTAACATTGAACTACACAATCTAATAGGATTTATTAGTTAGCACTGAACAACACAATCTAACAGGATGAATGTTTTAGCGCTGAACAACACAATCTGATAGGTTTTCATGTGTTACATATATAGAAGGAGATGTTCACCTGTATCGGGGGCGTGCTCAATGTGGATCTGTTTTGTCCTGTAGAACCTGTTGCAATGTCTTGAGGACTGCTAGCCAGATTGCTCGAGTGTTGGAGCTCTGTAAAATTCCTTACTCTGTTGTCATGACTGGTAGTAGCATTTGCTGGTTGCTGAGACATTGTAGAACGTGATGTGGTGTCATGGTAACCACTGTCAACCAGATAGCAACTTGGATCCCGAATCTCATCTCTTATTTTTTTACAAGGTGTTAGATGATATACTTCGTCAGGGTTTCTGGCCATTACATTACAAACTTCTCTGCTTAACTTGAAGTTGTTTTTACTGTCCCATTCTACTGGATATCTACCGACTTGTTCTGATGTATATGAAGAATCTGACATTGAAATTTCTTGAGGGTCAAGCACTGCATCATCTAATTTTTCGCCTGCTGTTTCCAATGAAGCATGTTGAGCATGAGGAACCTCCATCTCATCACAGCATGGTTGACATATGGGATTACCATTTTCACTGAGCAATAGTGATTGTGATGAAGGAGTTGGTTGTTCTGCTCTATACTGATCTCCAGAATTAGCACCACTTGATGAACTTGGGACATTGCTTGCAGCCCACAGTTGAGATGTTCCATCATCATTTGGGATTACTGTTTTTTCGTGTTCAGTATTATCCACCATTCCTTTGTCATCTGCATAGGAATTACCTTCAGGAGCAAGTTGTTCTGGTACAGTGGTCTGTTGCTCTCTAGAAGAAGTGCTTTGTAATGAACCCAGTTGAGATGTTCTGTCTTCATTTGGAACAAGTGGTGCTTCATTTTGGATATTTCCCATCATTTGCTCATCCTCTTCACTGGAGTTTTCTTCAGAGGAAGAAATTGGGTCATCCATTTTCTCAACTAAGAAACTTGTCAAATGTTTTGAGAAATGATGGAAAGCTTATTTTCTCTTTACTCTTATATTAAAAGTCTTGATTACTTTGTACAAAGACCAGAAAATAATTAGCCTAATATCCAATAGTATCATCATAAGTTTGACTGCTGTGGACACGCTGACTGGATGGGATAGTCACAAATATGTTGTTGGGATGGCAGGCCTGGCCTGTAAAATACAAAATTAATAAAAGAATTTAGCAAACAGTAGGCGGCAACAGATATTCTCATATATTACGCATTTTGAACAAGAATTATCTAAAACAAATATTCGACACAGTTTACAATATGGGTTTATAAATTGGCTAAAAACATGTATTGTTAATATGAAACTGAAACATTATATGACTTGTCTGCTTATATCTGAAGTTGATATTTTACCTAATCTTTGTAGATTAATTATATACAAAATACCCTGAGTGCTTATGCATCTTATTGCAGCATCTTAAGGTTGTACAGGAAATAAGGAAAATGTATTCAATCAAATACAATGATATACTGTCCAAATTTGGTCAATGTTAGGTTTGATATTAATGTAAGTTCTTGTCACCTGTCCTGATTGTTAAGTAAACCCTGTCTTTGAAATATAAGTCAGCGTAATGCATAGACAAGGGATAAAACAAGATTTTGGCTGAATTTCTGAAACCCTGAATCTGCAGATTGTATCTACCTTAAGGTTTCAACACTTAAATGAAGGTCAGTATTGTTGCTCAAAATGCAGGTAAAGCCTGCTAATTACAGATCATTTCGGTGTATTATCTTTTAATTCCAGTCTTCAGAATCAACAGCATTTACGGTAAACCTCTGGTCAGTTTGAAGAGGCGTAGAATTTGAATACACATTATGAACAATAAAAATAATGTTTTTAGGTCACCTGAGAAAGTCTCAAGTGACCTATTGCGATCGCCTTTTGTCCGTCGTCATCCATCGTCCGTCGTCGTCCGTCGTGCGTCCGTAAACAATTTACATTTTCGACTTCTACTCCAAAACCCCTGGACCAATTTCAATGAAATTTTGCAGAAACCTTCCATGGCCAAAGGTCAACAGAAAAAGGTGACGGTCCTCAGGGGCCTGAGGGGCGGGGGCCAAAAAGGGTCAAATTGACTAAAATTTCAAAAATCTTCTTCTCAATTAAGACCCAGATATGATGGAATCAAATACTCATCATAGATGGAAGGGACTTAAGGTGCTCTACCAAAATTGTGAATTTATTGACCCTGGGGTCTCATGTTTTCCCCTGGGGAGGGGGTAAACTTTACTATAGTTTATATAGGGAAATCACATTTTGGACCAACATTTGTTTAATTTCCATTGGAAGTAATTAAATTTAGGTCAGCATTATCAGTATTGGGTAGCGGTTTGATGGTATGCACATATGACCCCTGACTGACCCTCCGGGGCTATTGGGTGGGGCCAAAAAGGGTCAAATTGACTGAAATTTTAAAAATCTTTTTCTCAAGACCCAGATATGGTAGAATAAAACACTCTTCATAGATGGAAGGGTCTTAAGGTGCTTTGTCAAAGTTGTGAATTTCTTGACCCTGGGGTCTCACGTTTCCTTCTGGGGAGGGGGTAAACTTTACTATAGTTTATACAGGGAAATCACATTTTGGACCAACATTTGTTTAATTTCCATTGGAGGTAATTCAATTTAGGTTAGCATTATCAGTATTGGGTAGCAGTTTGATGGTATGCACATATGACCCCTGACTGACCCCCCGGGGCTATTGAGTGGGGCCAAAAAGGGTCGAATTGACTGAAATTTCAGAAATCTTCTTCTCAATACCCAGATATGGTAGAATCTAACACTCTTCATAGATGGAAGGGTCTTAAGGTGCTCTACTAAAATTGGGAATTTCTTGACCCTGGGGTCTCACGTTTCCCCCTGGGGAGGGGGTTAATTTTACTACAGTTTATATAGAGAAATCACATTTTGGACCAACATTTGTTTAATTTCCATTGGAAGTAATTCAATTTGGGTTAGCATTATCAGTATTGGGAAGCAGTTTGATGGTATGCACATATAAGCCCTGACTGAACCCCCAGGGCTGATGGGTGGGGCCAAAAAGGGTTGAATTGACTGAAATTTCAAAAAAACATCTTCTCAAAGACCCAGATATGGTAGAATCAAACACTCTTCATAATGGAAGGGTCTTAAGGTTTATGACCCTAGGGTCTCACGTTTACCCCCTGGGGAAGGAGGGGGGGGCAAAATTTATTATGGTTTATAATGGCAAATGATACTTTGAATATTACATGTTAATAACTTGATTGGAATTATAACCTTGAGTTGACAGTTTGATACTTTGAAAATTTTGAGCCAGCCCTACCCCCAAGGGCTGTAGGGTGGGGCTCAAGGGAGTCAGTGTGCTAAAANTAACTCTCTGGATAAATATATCAGGTGACCGTTAAGGCCCATGGGTCTCTTGTTCTGTCTAGTGATACTTTGAACCCTCCTTACCCAAACTTTTGGATTGTTGGAATACACAGTTTTAGTACTGAAATTACGTAATTATCGATCAATGTTGCAGACTATCGGCATGGCAATAACAGCCTCGCAAAACTCGCTTTAACCAATCTATTTACGCATTGACAGCATTTTATATTTATAACTGAATAAGGGGTATAGTACTCATGAAGTGCACTCATCACGTGCACACTGCACATCGTGTAACATTATGTGATCCCACAACTGTAATACATAGAGGTTTCTTGATGCCGAATAATTATTATCCCCTCGCAACAAAAGTTTGTGGGGATATAGGATTCAGCCGGTATGTAGGTATGTACGTGTTACACTCTTTGTCATGACACTCTAGCGACTTGACGGAATTTTATGAAATTCAAATGTTTGGTATGACAATGCCTTGAACAAGTGCACGTTTTTGGTTACTGCGTTAAAGGTCAAGGTCACTTTTTCTATTTTCAGAAAAACTTTGTCATTACTCTATTGCCTTTAATCTTCAGTTACAGGTCAAGATCACATTTACTATTTAAAAAAACTTCCTTCCTCACCCTACCGACTTCATTCCTCAACCGAATAATATCTGTTATCCTTCAAAGAATGTAGAGGCTAGAGCAGATATGATACATCATAGAAGTATCTAGTCATTTCCTCATACATATGTCAAACAATGTGTGCAATTACAAAGGTAGAACATTATATAAAAATCACATTCATGAGAGGGCGATATTGCATATTTTCACCCCGAGGGGTTAAAATATGCAATATCGCCCTCTCATGAATGTGATTTTTAGGTCACCTGAGCTTTGCTCAAGTGACCTATTCCAATCGCTTTTCGTCCGTCGTCGTCCGTCGTCCATCGTCCGTCGTCCGTCGTGCGTCGTGCGTAAACTTTTACATTTTCAACTTCTTCTCAAGAACCAGTGGATGGATTTTTTTCAAACTTGGTCAGAATCATCCTTGGTAGATGAGGCTTCAAAATTGTAAAATTGGGATTCCTACCCCAACCCCTGGGGCCAGGGCGGGGCCCCAAAGGGAAAATTAATCAATATTTCAAAAATCTTCTTCTCCAGACTCAGAGGTACTACAGTGATTTTCTCTACGTGGAAAGAAAGATCATCAGGGGCTTTACTTAAATTGTAAATTTCAGGACCCCCGAGCTATCCGTTCTCCCTTGGGGAGGGGGTAAAGTTTACTATAGTTTATATAGGGAAATAACACTTTTGGGTATATTTTGACAACTTTCTGTAGGAAATTATTTTTACTTGGTGAGAATTATCCTTGGAGGTAGATGGTTTCAAATTGTAAAATTGAGATTCCTACCCCGACCCCTGGGGCCAGGGCGGGGCCCCAAAGGGAAAATTAATCAATATTTCAAAAATCTTCTTCTCCAGACTCAGAGGTACTACAGTGATTTTCTCTACGTGGAAAGAAAGATCATCAGGGGCTTTACTTAAATTGTAAATTTCAGGACCCCCGAGCTATCCGTTCTCCCTTGGGGAGGGGGTAAAGTTTACTATAGTTTATATAGGGAAATAACACTTTTGGGTATATTTTGACAACTTTCTGTAGGAAATTATTTTTACTTGGTGAGAATTATCCTTGGAGGTAGATGGTTTCAAATTGTAAAATTGAGATTCCTACCCCGACCCCTGGGGCCAGGGCGGGGCCCCAAAGGGAAAATTAATCAATATTTCAAAAATCTTCTTCTCCAGACTCAGAGGTACTACAGTGATTTTCTCTACGTGGAAAGAAAGATCATCAGGGGCTTTACTTAAATTGTAAATTTCAGGACCCCCGAGCTATCCGTTCTCCCTTGGGGAGGGGGTAAAGTTTACTATAGTTTATATAGGGAAATAACACTTTTGGGTATATTTTGACAACTTTCTGTAGGAAATTATTTTTACTTGGTGAGAATTATCCTTGGAGGTAGATGGTTTCAAATTGTAAAATTGAGATTCCTACCCCGACCCCTGGGGCCAGGGCGGGGCCCCAAAGGGAAAATTAATCAATATTTCAAAAATCTTCTTCTCCAGACTCAGAGGTACTACAGTGATTTTCTCTACGTGGAAAGAAAGATCATCAGGGGCTTTACTTAAATTGTAAATTTCAGGACCCCCGAGCTATCCGTTCTCCCTTGGGGAGGGGGTAAAGTTTACTATAGTTTATATAGGGAAATAACACTTTTGGGTATATTTTGACAACTTTCTGTAGGAAATTATTTTTACTTGGTGAGAATTATCCTTGGAGGTAGATGGTTTCAAATTGTAAAATTGAGATTCCTACCCCGACCCCTGGGGCCAGGGCGGGGCCCCAAAGGGAAAATTAATCAATATTTCAAAAATCTTCTTCTCCAGACTCAGAGGTACTACAGTGATTTTCTCTACGTGGAAAGAAAGATCATCAGGGGCTTTACTTAAATTGTAAATTTCAGGACCCCCGAGCTATCCGTTCTCCCTTGGGGAGGGGGTAAAGTTTACTATAGTTTATATAGGGAAATAACACTTTTGGGTATATTTTGACAACTTTCTGTAGGAAATTATTTTTACTTGGTGAGAATTATCCTTGGAGGTAGATGGTTTCAAATTGTAAAATTGAGATTCCTACCCCGACCCCTGGGGCCAGGGCGGGGCCCCAAAGGGAAAATTAATCAATATTTCAAAAATCTTCTTCTCCAGACTCAGAGGTACTACAGTGATTTTCTT